CATATAGGTAATATATCTTACCTAAGGTTTTCATGGAAAACCAGATCTTGGAGCAATCATTCCTTTCACACACCCCTCATATTAAATCAGGAGCTCAAGCTAGATTTTCCCAATACTGTAAATGTTTCTTATATGCCTTGCCACTACCTGCACATTCTTGTCGTACTTTGAACTTTAGAATTCTGTCTTGCAAAGGTGGTAAAATTTCAGGTGTGGCCATTTCAGTTAATGTAAGCAAAGAAATGCTGCACTAAGGCTGATCTACCTCACACAATATATGTTTTCCTTATGTTCACATACATCAAGAATAAAGATATACTTGATTAGTATATCTTTCTCTGGACAATAAAAATATGAGTTTCACATTATAGAAACGTTTGGTAATTTGCTTAAGCTCACCACCTTTTAAAAGTTTATTAACAAGATATATTTTCACTTACAGGACAAATGAAGCAGGACCCTCGAAAAGAAGAGATTTAGAAAGGCAACTTTTTCTTACCTTTCAGCGTACTACTGTTCTGCTCATCCAGTGAGGCTCCCAAAGGGGTACTGAAACCACACAAACATATAAACCTTAGTCTTGAAACGCTGTCTGGAGAGCTGTCACTGCAAGCCTCATGCTTACTGGGTTATAGCTAAGCAAGCTTCTAATCACAGTGTAACTCTCCTCCCAAACACACAAGGAATGCAAGTGGATTACATAAGTAACAGGCTACGAACTAAGCAAATACCTGTGTCAAGTCAGTTTACCAGGAATGATTTAATCACACGTCTGATCTGCCAGCAATTAAGAGCAAGAATGGCAATTATAAATGATATGAACTGGCACTTTCTTTACAGAAACAGAAAGAGAGAATGACAGTAGGAATTAAGAAAATGTCTGCTTCCCTCAGTCTGCTCCCTAGAAACAGGAAACAGAATTAAAAGAAAGCAAATCATTATCTCGATAAAACTAAAAGTCAGAGACTAGTTAGAAATAAGGCTCAAGAGTTATCTTAAACCTTATCTGTTAAACCTATCACTAGCATTTTAGAGCACTGGGCACCTCCTTTATCCCAACTACTATCTTTATTGATATAAATGATGAGGCTGGAGATTTATTTTCTGCTTTTAAACTAAAAAGTACACGTAGTCTTCATTTAACTCTGAAAAGAAAATTACTAAAAAGTCGGCTTGAGAATCAAGAACTAGCCATTACTAAAATCCTTTCACATTCTTGTAGGTCACAGATAACTTAGAAATCTCTTTTTCAATGCAAAAAAGTTTTCCACTTCTTTCTCAAAACTATGTTAAAGAAACAGATTGTTTTAGTTTGAAAGTTCTACTTTCATAACAATTTATACCTGTTAAAAATTCCCTCAGATGTAGTATCAACATAAAAATATCAGTTTCAAATAAATGTTATTGAAATGCCGATTAAACATTGATTTTCTGCAAACAAATACATAGCAAAGGCAGCTCTTTGGAAATTAGTGATTTTTTTTTTAGTAAATTTGTGCTTTTTGTGATTTTTTTAGTAAAAGAATCATAAACTACCATAGATATTAATAAAACCTTCGAGCTAAGTTGTTGCATATGTTTTATTTTTTTTAATTTATTTTAATTGATTTCAGAGAGGAAGGGAGAGAGAGAGAGAGAGATAGAAACATCAATGATGAGAGAGAATCATCGATCAGCTGCCTCCTGCACATCACCTACTGGGGATTGAGCCCACAACCCAGGCATGTGCCCTTGGCCGGAATCGAACCTGGGCCTCTTCAGTCCGCAGGCCGACGCTCTATCCACAGAGCAAAACCAGCCAGGGCAGTTGCGTATGTTTTAATAAAACTCTAATTTATGCCATAAAAAAGGTCATTCTTTTCAATGGCTCCTTTCTTAGGACAAAACACTATTACTCCTTGCGCAGATGTATCCACTGGTCTGTGCACTGACACAAAGTGTCAAATAAGCAGAAGATAACTGGCATTCTCCTTCAAACACAAGTCTCTCACTCTTATAATTGCTCTCTTCCAAATTCTATCAAAAACTCTGTCCTGTCTTAGGTGGTAATTCAAGCAATTTGTTTCCACTTAGCCAAAAATAAAATAAAGTAAAATAAATGGTTATCAAATTAAATATTTACTTTAAGAAAACACCATGTGGCATTTTTACTCAGGATATGGAGAGAAATAAGAAAACAATGACTATTTGAGAACTTACTGAGGAAAAAAATGCTGCCTTCAGATAATTTGTTTATAATGTACAAAGGAGCTAGATGCTCAACTCTGGGAAGGAACCTAAATTGTTATAGAAAAAAAAAATACAGTTGCATATATCCTAGAAGTCAAATCTGTGATAATAAAGCCAACGGTAAAAGACCTGTTCTACCTCTCCCAGGTACAGGTGAATGCCACTTTTGAACAGAACAGGTGCCACTGCAGAGAAGAAAAAGAAGCAAAGGAGTGGCAGACTACAGAATCTGCCTACGTCCATCGAGATTAGCAATAAAAGTTCGCAAATGGTCAGGCACGATGCACCCTGCTGAACACTAACATTTGCTTATTGCATTTATCTTAAAAGATGCACTTATTTACTACCTACTTGATATAATCAAGGAGATCTACCCCATACCTGCTATAATCTCTTATACAAACTTAATTCCTTTACATCATAAAGATGTGATTCTTCTCTTGCTCTTAAACATTTTGTTGGTGTCTCTTTAGAGAAAGGTTGCACGTATTTTATCATATTTCAGAAGGGTCTATGACACCCCCAGTAAAGGTTAAGGAGATCTGTAATAAAGTGCTCAGGAAGGCTCCAGGCAATTCATCAAAGTAGGACATCAATAGTCTAGTGGCCAATATTTTATCTATAAACTGACATATATGAGAATCACTTCTCCCTCCCCAAAAACCACTTCCCAAACTCTGGTACTTGAACACAAGATTAAGAAAAGCCCCAAATGTCGGGGCGGGGGGGGGGGCGGGGGGGGGGGCGGGGGGGGATACGTGCAGAAACAAACATCTTAAAAAGCAACATTCTTCACTGGAGATATTATAAGTAGCAATAAATTGGGGAAAAAAAGAATTAACAAGCACATTTCACTGTCATAAGATTTAATTGCAATATGATTCATCTCCTCCGTACTTTATCAAACATTTTTGTACCAGTTGCCAAAACATGTAATTAAACAGATTTATGCAGTCTGAATGCCTTCAAAGCTCTATTTCCCTTCCGTGAATTCCAGCGCCATCTGACAAATGCATTTCCAAGAAGTAAATTACAAGAACAAAGTTAGCTAGTTTTCCTAGCTCTCCAAACAGAATCGGGGCACGCACAAAAATATTCAAGTCCAGAGACTGCAGTGCAGCTTCAAAACTCACCTAAAACACATTTGAAAGGGAAATGATTTGAGGCCAGATGTAAAGATGTCAAAACAAAAGCAAAATGAAATATCGTGTGAAAATCCTTTCGAATAAAAAACCAGGCAGGCCTAACAGCATGGCACGATGGTCTGCTTTAGGTCTGCGATCCCTGATGCTAAACCAGCATCCCGCACGGGAGCTCGAGCCCTAACAACCGCAGAGCTAACGCGGTCCCCGAGTCACCGGCGGTCGCAGTGCTTCCATTTCTAAGCGCTTAAAGGAGGAAGCGATCCGCAGGCTCACTTTCCGGTTTAGTTTACAGCGACCACGGGACCCGCAGGGACGGCGTCCCCTCTGCCCGGGTCTCCCTCCGCGAGGCCGGCGGCGCCGGCGAGGACTCACCGGCAGTCCTTGAGCCATATCGCGATCTTCTCGTTGGGCACGTTTCCTGCGGGGCAGAGGGGAGAGGGACAGCTCGTCACCGACACCAGGCAGGAGGGCTCCCGCGGCGGGGAGAACCGGGGCACTTCCACGCAGGAAAGTCTGCTGGGGTCACCGTGCAGCCCGGGCACCAGTCCTCGGGCCCCTCCGAAGAGAAACGAGACGGCACCGGGTGGGCTCGGTGGGCGCTGGAGACGCCCGGCTGAGCGCGCGCGTTTAAAGGTCGGGAGCGCCTCCTCTCCTCTCGGCCTCTCCAGCCCGGGAGGATCGTCCACCGCTCACCGCCGTCGCCCGGGGCGCACGAGACCTCCCCCCGCCGCCTGCCCGCATCGCCCCGCGCCCCCCGCCGCAGCCCGCGGGGCGCACCGACCTCTCCCCGCGGCCGCCGGCAGCTTCGCGCCCGGGAGGTCCTCCTCGTCGTCCTCGTCCTCGTCCTGCGTCGTCGCTTCTGTGGACAGGTCCTCCGTCTCCGACGCCTGCCAGGACCCGCGGCACTTGGCCCAGGCCTTCCTCCGGCGACTCGCCACTTGCCACTCCAGTTCCTCCTCCGCCTCCGCCGACGCCACCAGGGGCCGGTCCATGGCCGCCCCGGGGGCTCCCGCGCCCCAGCCGGAGCCTGCGCGAGACCAGGCGGCGGCGGAGACCCCCGCCCCTGCTGTCAGCGCCCGGCCGGGCTGGGGGCCCCGGGCAGAGGGCGCCGGAGGAGGAGAAGGAGGAGGAGTAGGAGGAGGAGGGGACGGGAGGGAGGGAGGGAAGGAAGGGGAGGGAGGAGGCGGAGGGCCGGCGCTTCACATGAAGTCGGCGGGCGCGGGAGCGCGAGTGGCCCGAACGTGCGCCGCCGGGAGCCGAGCGCCGGGCAGGCCCCGCTCCCAGGTCCCGCCCCCGCCCCCCGCCTCCCGCCCCCGCCTCCGCCTCCCGCCTCCCGGCCGCCGGCGTCAGCGCGCCCCTCCCTCGCCGGCGTCCCACGCCCCCTTCCGGCCGGGGGCGCTCGGGGCGGGGCGCGGCGGGAGCGCGAGGCTGGCCCCGCCGCCCGCCGAGTGGGCGAGATGGGTTTGCTCGTTTGTTAGTGTTCTCTTCCCCGCAACTTTTGTCTCCATTCAGAGCAGGAAAAGGCGGCAACGAGGTCTCGAGACTGCTCACCGCGTCAAACAGGCGTCCGCTCGGCCCGCAGCAAGTTCCCCGGGGAGACCCAAGCACGGTGTCCCGGCGACTCTGCAAAAAGATGAAAGGCAGGGGCGCGGCCCATGGTCCTCGTCTCGTCCGCGTGTCCGAGCTGGAAAAGGCCACGCTGCGTGCAGGGCCGCATGCACGCTTAAGAGAGTTGTTGGTGAAGGTTGTGTGAGGGATGCAGGTGGGTTGACAAAGAACACTTAAGCTGGAAATTCCACACTGAGGTTGGACATGGAGAGGGAAAGAAAAATAGAGCACGGACTAGCCGGGGGAAATGTGCTCGGAGGTTGGTGCAGCAAGATGCTACGGGAAACCAATGATGTCAAGGTTCGGAACTAATTTCCAAATGAGTTTGGGCATACCCTTTTGTTGTTTTTAAAAATCTCGCGAGGAAGACTATAAGATCCCATTCAAAATCAGGCACGAACTTCTTTCTAATGGTTTGCCAGTACAGTCTCTATAAAATCACATCCAAAGTCCATACTCACTTTCCAGTACCATCCTGCTATCATCTGGACCTTACGTATTCCACGAAATATTCAGGGAACTAGAACAGTGATACTTTTATTTTCTCTTATTCGTTTGAAACTTCACTATTACTCTTTTCTTTGGATTTTAAAGACGTTTCAGCCTTCAAGAGTCCTATGGCAAAAAGCAGCTAGCAGTTTAGAGGCCCTCAAAAATAGGCCAGAGTCTAGCTGCCTGTAGGAAAGGTAAGGAGGGAGAATGAGGGAGGAGATACCCAAGGTTCTGGTCAAAAGACCATAAAGTACACTGCCTTCAGTATCATTCAGGGCCCTAGTGGACTCCACCTTACCCGACTTTTCCCAGCTTCCATTCCATCATCTCCACAGACTGTTGCTGACTCTATATCCTTGCTTCTCAGTTTGTTCCTGGTCTTTCCGTACAATAACTTCATGATCTTCAAGATCTGGTGGAGCCAGAACTTTTCCTTCACTGTATCTTTCCACCGCTCCCAGTCACATCTCTCCCGCAATTTTCTGATATGCAACTGAATAATGTCTACATCCTTTACGTGGGGACTAAATTGTACAGTAAATAATATGACTGGCCTCTGAGGGTATGTTTGACTTTCCAGCCAAATTGTAAACTGTGAGAGAATAAAGAGCATTTCTCAGTAGTCTTCCTATACCTCTTACACTTTTAGTACAGTGCCAGTCCCACAAGGAGCAGTGAGTTCTTTTGAAGTAAATTTTCTATACTTTATGTCCTTCAGAAGGACGGTGGAATGGTAAGATACTTGCTTTATGTTGTTTCTCTAAGACCTGTTGTCTTTTACTTAGTTTTATTGTTGTTTAAACACACTTTTAGACAATAAAGAATTCTTGAGAAAAGCAATAATGAACCATAATTTACATTTAAAAACTAAACCACCAGAGTTAATAAAGGAAGAAAAATTGTCAGCGGGTAACAACAGTTGTTGAGTTTACAATAGCACAATCCTCTGTTTTCTTCTACATGCTGATTTTTAATGCAAAATGTTAAATACAGAAATAATGAGAGGGAAATCCTTGAAATAGCTGGGGTTATCATTATATTCTCAACTTTGAGATTTTAAAAAGTGCCCAAGGTGTTTTATTTATTCAATAATGAATGCCCTATCACACATGAGGAGAGTCTCTAGCTATTTGCTTCTTCAAAGTTTTTTTTCCAAACAGGTACTGTATTGTAGACCAACTGTACATCCACATTGCAGAAATTCTACATAAAGGATAATATCTGAGCTACTGATGCTTACAAGATGGAGAAACACATTTATATTACACTAGAGGCCCAGTGCACAAACTTTGTGCACTGGTAGGGTCCCTAGCAGCTGGCTGTGGACAGCCGGGTACTCCCTCCCTTTCCCAGGCCGGCCCCGCCCCCTGGCCAAACTCCGGGAAAAACTCCAGGTTGGTTGAGGGGACAATTTGCATACTATGCTTTTATTATATAGGATGTGGATAATTCCATCCAGCATGATGTAATGGAAACAGTAGGGTCTTTGGTGTCAGACTGAAGTTTGAAATCTGTTTCTGTCTCTCTCTAGTTGTATGGCTTAGAGCAAGACAGCTAATATCTCTCTGGTCATCACATTCCTCATCTGTGAAATAGCAATCATGATGACGATCTAAGGTGATGTGAGGATGACATAGAATACGGTAGGTACTCAGTATAGCTATTGGAATTATTATATTGCAGAAGGCAAAAATCAATTTCATATGGGGCAGTTATTCTTATACTAGTAAATGGCATGTGTCTTCATGCTTATGCAGCTGAATTTTTAAAATGCCATAAATTCAGGCTAGGACAGAAAACACTCTAGTTAAATTAGGCAGTTATAAATAGAAAAGCTTATATCAAAACTGCAACATTATGCTCAGTTCAATTACTTCAGTTATTTTTTTGTTTTCCCAGATTTTAACACATATCTCAAAATTAGAAAACAAGATTTACTATTAGGTAGACTAAAGCATTTCAGTTCTAGTTATGGTATTGTTTCTTCAATATTTACAAGATCAAAAATGTTCTTTTATGCATCTAAATCTTAATAATTCAGAATCTGATCAGAGAGTGATAATGATGCAGCTTACCAAATTTTCAACCTTTATTAAGACAAAGGGGAGCTGGGAGCTATTAGGTAAGTAGAGTGCAGATTAAACAAAGAGAGCACCATTTTATATTTCAAATAGAAGCCCGATGCACGAAATTCGTGCAAAGGACTTGGCCCTCACAGCCCCGGCTTCGTCTGGAAGGACATCGGGCTGTCCAGTCTAATTAGCATATTACACTTTGATTATTATATCTACGATTACCTGGAGAGAAAAATTCTATATGAAATAAGGTTGGAAAACACTGCATGTTATATCCTCATCGTCCCTTATCCCAACCCAGTCATAATGAATGTTAAAGACTTGATAAGTCCTCAAAATTTACTTAAAAAAAAAAAAAAGACTTACCTTTGTTTAACTCACTGTTTCTAAAATGTATTTCAACATGAAATCATTTGGGCCTCTCAATATAACTATTAACATTTCCAAGAATAACAGTGGAATCATTTGCCATAGTATAAAAGATAATGAAAGGAAAATGTTACTCAGCAAATGAATACTTCAAAAATGTTTAAAGATTTATTTATAAATCATATTATTGAACTCTGAGGAAAAGTGGTTTGTCTAACTTAGATTGTTTTTTTATGTATATATATATTTTATTGTCATTATTAATCATTAGAGCAGTGGTTCTCAACCTGTGGGTCGTGACCCCTTTGTGGGTCGAATGACCCTTTCACAGGGGTTGCCTAAAACCATCAGAAAACACATATATAATTACATATCGTTTTTGTGATTAATCACTATGCTTTAATTATGTTCAATTTGTAACAATGAAAATACATCCTGCATATCAGATATTTACATTACGATTCATAACAGTAGCAAAATTACAGTTATGAAGTAGCAACGAAAATAATTTTATGGTTGGGGGTCACCACAACATGAGGAACTGTATTAAAGGGTCGCGGCATTAGGAAGGTTGAGAACCACTGCATTAGAGTATTTCTGGTTTTTGTATATATTTGAAAGTAATAAAATTGTATATTTAAGGTGTATAATTACACCTATTATTCTTTCACCTTAGCAAAAAAATCAAGGGTTATGATACTAGTTCATTGTCCTATAAATGTTTCATAAGGGAGCATTAATATAGTATAACAATACAGTATTTTAATTTCCCATATTTTCCCAAGTACGTATTAAAAGGAGAAGCAGGTGTCAATACCACAGGAACTTTACCTTGAACATTATTTACATAATCTGGAAAAGTTTTATACTGTCTGATTTTGTGCATGTTGAAAACTTGTAATTTCATCCCTCACTTCATCACTCCCAGATCACGATTTTTCCACTTGCTACATAATGTGAAATTGACTCTCTCTGTGGTAAACCTTGTAGAGAGCTTGATTTCTTCTCAGTGGCTCAATTCTCTGGTGTTTCTGAGCAACAGGTAAGAATGGCTCATCTATTCTTCATCAATAATGGCATGAAGCACGATTATATAACAGAATAAGCTTTATTTGGTCTGTTTCATGAATTAATGAAACAACTCAAAAGAGGTTTTTATATCCTCATAACTGGACATAGTTACACATAGGAAAGCCAAAATATTTTTAATTCAGCTGTGAAGTCTTAATGCTCAAGATTAGGTCAGTCCTTTATTATTTTTCTTTTTAGTCCTGTCCTAAAATATTGCTATTAAAGATCTCTGACATTATGAATCATAAACGCTTTTAAGGTGTATCTATTGCTATCAAGTGCTCAATCTGTGCCACTTGAGAGTAAACATTTTTCTGCAGTACACAACAGGGGGATGTCAATATTGTATTTCTCAGTTTTAAAACTGTCCTGTGATCAATTATTGATACACATTTGTTTCCCAATTTAAGATTATTGCTAGCTCTTATGTATGTGATTACTTACCATATGCAGCCATTAGAACTATTAAAATTTTTATCATTTCACTATGCATATCTTTGGAATTATATATTTACATGTAAATATCTCCTATATTTTATGAGGATCAGAAAAAAAGAAGTTTGTGACTATATGAACCATGTATCTATCTACTATTAATGTATCTTTAAAAGCTTTAAATGGTGCAGATCTTATAAATGGTTCTTGAAAACATACACACAATGTCTTTTTTAAAAATAATTCTGATGTGTGCCTGAACCACACTGCCTCTCCCATCACATTTCCCTTCTCTAATCTGCCTTCTGCAGCCCCTTCATGCCCATCTCAGAACAAACACAATCTGCATTCAGAACAGGACCCTTTACAAGTTGAATGGAGTTATTTTGGGTGAGTCATTGAAAACACAGTACAAAACCTTTCCTCACTCGCCAGAAGTGCATTTTTTAAATTAAGCCAAAGCGAACAAGGCTTGGCAAGTTTGAAGGTGGACAGAATGGGGAGAGGGCAGGGTTTCTGCCAGACTCAGATAGGATTCTGCTAAACCTTTTTGGCTATTTATATGTACCTCCACCAGTTTCTTTTACCATCACTAAACAAAAAGTGCAAGATTGAACAAGTAGGAAGCAGGGACACTCCATTTCAACCAGCACTGATGGTGAGCAAAACCAGATCTACTATAGTGCAGCCACAGCTTTAAATCCCCCTTTTTTTTTTCATTCTTTAATTCAGAAGCTATAAGATGTATCCACTCAGTAATCTCTTTCTTCTGATTAAATCAATTTGGCCAATTAGTAATGCTTATAGGCAATTTTTATCTTTATTTTTAAAATATATTTGTATTTATTTCAGAGAGGAAAGGACAAGGAGAGGGGAAAAGAAATAGGAGCAGCAATGATGAGAGAGAATCATTGATCAGCTGCCTCTCCTGCACACGCCCTACTGGGGATTGAGCCCTCAACCAGGCATGTGTTCTTACTGGGAATTGAACTTAACCATTGAGTAACACCGGTCAGGCTATAGGCATTTAGAAAGTTGTTAAAAATTCAGTATGCAGTCCTTTAAAATTGCTTTTAAAGTAAGTGAAGTTCATGAGAGTTAATCGAAATATTAAAAGAAACAGAGCTATAGAGACAGAAAATAAGCTACTTCCTAAGAAACTTTAAAAATTGAATTGCTATAATCAAAGTCTATACAGTGTCTTGATAAATTTTGGATATTTAACATGCAGGTATCTACAGAACATATTACTCACCCTTTATCCTGCAGAGAACTTTTTTTAGCAACAATAGAAGTGATCACTCTTCTACAACCTGGTATAAATTTGTTGAGGTTCACATCTCATGAGTGAGGAGAAACCTGGAATCAAGATGGAGACAGTCTTAAACATGTAATGGTAATTCAGATCTATTTTGCTATAAAATCTGATAGTCCCCGAAAGTCACCTTTAACTCAGCCAGTTACTATGGGCTAATTAACCCATCCTGTAGGGGGCCCTTTAGTTATAAGTGTTCCCATTCACAAAGGGTCTGTCTCCACACTGTGGGGACACAGTTGGCCTTACTAGGTGTAATTATGCAAGTATTCTTGAACTCCCTTAGGATTATCAGTTTCCACAAGGCAGGGTGACAATTGTTGGTTATACAGAATGAAAATGCAGTGTTTGAAAGTTCATTTGGCTATGGAAGCACTAGGGTTATAATAAACAAACACATATTTCCTGCTGTAGTTAAGAGCATAGCAAAGAACTCTGGTTTCCCACATGTGGGGGAATTTTTCTTTTCTGGTTAAGCAATTGTTTTTAAAATATAAAATGCAGTAGTTACACAGCCTTCAAAGCTTATCTCACCCATCTAAGAATGATTTTTATCACATTTAGTTGCATTTAAATATAACCTACATATGATCAAAAGTTAAAGTGATTAAATATCTGTTGATGGGAACTCAATGCTAAGAACTTCCCCACAATCTTGTTTCAAAGCAGGCAGAAAAGTGAAGCAAACTTCCATTATAATTTCTTTGGAGAAAGTTTATTATTACTTTCAGGTAGCATGTTTGGCCTAGATTACAGTAGTACAAATCAAACAGCTTAAAGTTATGTTTATTAATAGACTGTTATTAAATAAAAGAACTACAGGGTAAAGGTCAGCACACAGGTTGTTTTGTTTATTTTTAAAAAATCCTCTGAGCCCATGTCTTTCCAACTTTTTCTAAACAAGTCAGCCCAAGTTGGCACCTTCAAACCTTTAAATACTGTAATTATAATAGTGCTGATATTCAATTTGGAGAAATGCTGTTAGAAGAGCAATTATGTCAGTGGACCCAAGGAAATAACAATGTTAAAAATAGATGATTTTGATGGAGTACTTGTTGTGTGCCAGACACTGTATTTAGAGCTGGATTTAGTCTCCTTTAATACAACAACTCTGTAAGGGCTTGTGTTATTCTCACTTTACAGAGAGGAAAACTGAGCTTTATGAAGGCGAACACTTGCCCAAGCCACATACTAGGAAGTTGCAGAGTGGAACCAGGACTTTTGCTCTGCAAAGCCCCTGCGTGCTCTTACCTAAGATGTGTGACTGCCTGGGAGTATTCCAGGTCCACTGTTGGGCAGAGGGTCAGCGTGACTTACAAGTGGAAGGAGTTCTAGGAAAGTGATGAACTACTACAATGTCCTCATTTTACAGGAGGAAAACTGCGCTCAAAAACTTTAAATAGCCTGCATGAGGTCAGCCACCTAGTTAGTGATAGAATTCATTAGGAACAAGAGTCCACATCTCAACAGCCCTACAAATATTAATAAAAGCAAAGCTAGAAAAACTGCTTCTATTTTATCAAACATGAAAAACTCTAGAGACTGTAAAAACAGAGTTTATTAGCCAAGCTTCTTCAGTGTTACATGTCAGTTGAGTCCTCTTGGACACCTGGCCACCCTAGGATTGAGTGATGTCCACAGAGTCCTGTCCTCAGCAGCCTTGGTCAGGTCCTATAGACTCATGCCTCTTGCTTCTTTTATGGATTTATCCATCTCCTATTTGGTTTGTCTCTTTTCCTGCTACCTTCTATTTTTCCCAGCATTGTTATCTTTTCCAAAGAACCCTGCCTTCTCATGATGTGCCCAAAGTAGGACACCTTCAGTTTTGTCATTTTTGCCTCTAGTGGTTTCAAGCTTAATGTGCTCTAGGACCTACTTGTTCACCTTTCTGTTGGTCCAGGGTAGCCACAGAGCTCTTTTCCAACACTGTATTTCAAATGAATCGACTTTTTGCCTATCAGATTTCTTGCTATTCAACTCCCGCATGCATCCGTAGTACTTGGGAATAGGAGGGTGTGAATGGTTTTAGCCTTGGTCCCTAATGACACATCTTTGCTCTCGATCTTTCCTATTCTTCTGTTGCTGCCCTTTCTAATCTCAGCCTTCTCTTCATTTGTTGGCTGCAGCCTCCATTTGAATTGACTGAACCAAAGTAAGCAAAATCCTTAACAATTTTGGTATTTCCATTATCTATGCAAAAGTTGTATATTTCTTCAGTAGTCATGATATTTGTCTTGATGTTCAAATGCAATTCTGCTTTGGCAGTTTCTTCTTACTCTTTCATCAGAAGTCATTTCAATTTATTGCTGCTTACTGCCAGTATGATGGTATCATCTGCATATCTTGTTATTTATTTTACCAATTTTCACTCCTCCTTCCTCTGAGTGTAGCCCAGTTTTTAATATGATTTGTTCTGCGTACAGATTAAACAAATAGAGACATAAAACACACCCTTTTATGACACCTTTGCCTATCGGAAACCATTCTGTCCTTCCATATTCTGTCCTACAGTGACTTCCTGTCCACAATACAGGTTACATATCAAGATGATCAGGTGCTGTGGTACACATATTTCTTTTAGAGCACCCCAGAACTCTGAGGAGACATTCCTGGTCCAGCCACATTCTTGTACTCAGAGGACTTTCCCAAAGGGAACAATGTTCATCATCAAAAAGTGAGATTTTTTTTACTTTTCAACCTAAAATCTGGTCTTCGAAGCAACCCTCAACTGCTCAATATGGGACCTGGAGTTTTAAGATTTTACCTAAGAATTATTTGAAACTCAATTTCAAAGAGAAACAATATTCATAAAGTTTTTCTTAAGGATAAAAATCCAGCTATTACTGTGACTAATATATATTCTATGTGATTATTTCAATATATTAAGACTTACCTGTGACTTAAAGCAGACCTGCAAAGAGCAGGGTGCCTTGATAAGATCAAATGATTTCCAAAAAGCTAGTTTTTACAAAATCACTCTGTAATTCATGCGATGGCATCCGTCTATATTGATTTTCAGTATGGGCAATGCCATGGATTGAAATGCACTGTCTCTAATAGAGAATCTCCCCAAAGTTAAGCATATCACCCTGTATTCTCTTTAGGAGGATGTCAGTAGAAATATCTTTTTACAATGTGTGTTCCAAGAAGAGTCAAAATTACTGAGACTTTCTAAAAAAACAATCTCAAGGGCACTGGGACTTGGATAAATGACAATGTTTCTGTTTTTACATTGGTTGCTAGAAAATTGAGAGCCAGATGTGTGGCTCACTCATGGTAGATGAGTAGGCCATCATGGTATGCATCTTAAACCTTATTCACAGCTCTAATTTGTCCCCACCCTTGTTTTTTGTTCTTTCAGTTTTTCTTTTTCTCGAAATAATCTTGTGTAATTTTTTTATATTTCTTCTCTGCAACAGGGGAAAGAAAATAACTAAATAAAATATGTTAGAATATTATTCAAAATTATGCTTAATGTACAAATATTTATATTTATAGCAGAATATTAGGAGGGAAATAAATATGTTTTGTTAGAAAGGCAATGTTATGCCTACTTTTTTTCTTTGATTTTACAAACTTTTAGAAATTGTATTTATAATTTAAGGAGGAAAAGTGATTTCAACTTTGAAAACTGTAGTTATTTATTCCAGAGGTAGAAGAAGTATGGGAAGTATGTGCATGACCCCATGATTATGTTAGGGCAAGTGGGGGACTGTGATAAAGTGAGGTTGGAATGGTAGATGAGAACCAAATTTTAAAGGCCATAATGTGCTATTCTAAGGGATTGTATTATTGCCGGTGGGAAGATGTACGCAGCTTTCAGTTTTTAACTAATGTTCTTTATTGGAAGTTTTTTCCTTTTTATTGGGGTGCCATTGGTTAACAAAATGGACAGGTTTCAGGTGCACAATTCTACAACATATCATCTGTACACTGTATTGTGTGTGCATCACTCCAAGTCAAGTCTCTGTCCATCACCATTTATCCCACTATACCCTGTTTCACCTCTCTTCATGCCCCCCCTCCACCGCAGCAATCACCACACTTTTGTCCATGCCCAAGAGTTTCTCTCTCTCTCTCTCTCTCTCTCTCTCTCTCTCTCTCTCTCTCTCTCTCTCTCTCTCCCTCCCTCCCTCCCTCCCTCTCTCCCTCTCTCCACCCTCCTCTCCCAGCCCCCCCCCCACTCGCCCCTAACAGCTATCAGCCTGTTCTCTGTCTATAAGTCTGTCACTCTTTTGCTTATAAGTTCATTTTTTTTTATTAGATTCCACATGTGAGTGAAATTGTATGGTAATTATCTTTTTCTGACTCGCTTAACCAGTAACAATATAGTTGAAAGAGTGGGAAATGTTAAGTCCTCAGGCAAGGGTGGCTTAATAGTATAGAAAAGGAGGTTGATAAAGACTTCAGTGAGTTAGAACAGTGGAGGTAGGGGCTACAATTAGATTTGACAAATTAGAACTGGGCCTGGAGGAAGAAACAGAACATGCCCAAGATATGTTTTCTACTTAGTAGGTAGAAATTGGTAGGTATTGGTGTTTCAACATGAGAGAGAATGTGTGAGAATTGGGTATTTTATGTTAATTTGTTTGAGAGTAAAGAGAACAAGAGGAAGAAAGAAAATGAGTTTATTATTGGGCCTATTAGATAGGAGGTGTTTATATGACACACTGATGGAAATGTAGCTCCAAGCATTCAGAAATACAGTGCAGTGCTGAACTCTGGATAAAGTTTGGTTTAGATATTGTAGGGGTGTGTGCATGTGGGATACTGGGGATCATTAGTACCAGAGAGCAGCCCTTTTCCTATTTTCCAAGAAAACGATTCTAAACTAAACCTATTGAGGCCGTAGTCGTCAATGACCCCTAAAATGCCAAATCCAGCAGATGCTTTTCAGCCCTCATTTTATAGGTATTCTTGTAGAGCTCTTGCCAGGACTGACTGTTCTCATTTCTTTCTTGATTTTATAATTTTTGGTTCTCCAACATTTCAGTCTCCTTCACTGGGTTTCATTCTTTTACCAGCTTTATCATTGTGTTCCTGAGAGTTTCCCTCTCTTGTGTTCACACATTCCACACACTCTCTCTGACTGAGACGGCAAAGGCTTCAGATGGAGGAATTTTGGGAGGAACAACAGTTTGTTGAATATGTGAAGTTTGAAAAGCCTGTTAGACATCCAAGTGGATATGTTGAGTAGGCATTTGGATATATGAATATAGAGTTCAAGGGGAAAATCTGGACTGGAATATGTATACATTTAGAAGTCATCAACCTATAGATGGTATCTAAAGATAAAAACAAAACAAAACAAACAAAAAACTGTTGTGGTCTCCGGGGGCAAATTGGTAAAGAATGAAGAGATATCCAAGGCCAGTGTCTTGGGGTACTTCACATTTTAGAGGCAGATAAATGAGAAGAACCAGCAACAGAGGCTGAGAAAGCCCAGGAGAAAGGCAGGAAGAGAATTAAGAGAAAGTGGTGATCAGAGGCAACTGAAGAAAAAAAAAAGGTTTCAAAAAAGGAGGAAATGGTCAATTCTACCAACTTCCTGATTAATTGATTAAAATGAAGACTGAGAAGTGACCTCTGTATTTGGCAATACAGATGTTATTGCTGACCTTGAATATAATTGTGGGGAGTAGTGAAAAGTGAAGCCTTGATTACAGCAAGAATCTGTGGGACTGATTCCTTTTAGAAGAGTGAAATAGGAAGTAGCAATGGTACTCAAAACTAGAACAATCAATTTGTTAAGTTGAACAAAAAAGCAGGAAAACCATTATATAGCCATTCAAAATAATAAATATTGTTTCTTGGATAAGGCTGGGGGGAAAAAAACCAGTTCTAATGCTTTGACCCCTCTGAACTTATTCCCAGTTAATTTTAATATTAGACCTTACAGTGATATGCTATCATTTCTCGGTAAAGCAGCATGAGCGAGGTAAAGGCAGACACAGTAAATGTAGACATCTGATGAAGGAAAGAACAAAGATAGGAAAATAGCTGAAAAGAAATGTGAGGTTGAAAAAGGACTTGAATTATTTTTTAGGAGAAATGAATGGAAATAAAACAAGAACAAGTAGACAGAGAAAGGTTAAATGTATACAGAAAAGGTTAGGTATTTGAAGGGATAAGATCTTGAGAAAAAGAGGAAAATTAATAGAAGAATGTCATATCTTTGTCGTAGATGGGAAGGAAATACAAATGTATTTCCACCAATGTAGTTAAATTTTCGGGTTGGGGGGAGATAATTTAAAGGAGTTCACACCTAATATCCTATTTGTACTCAGAGAATTAGGCCAGGTCATCTGCTGAAGTGATGGAACGTAAGCTGTTTGGGGAATTAAAAAGAGTTTAGAATAGCTATTATTAAAAATGGAAACAAAACTACAAGGAAGAAGTAAAATATTTGTTTGGCAGTTATATATTCCTCTAAACCAGCGGTTCTCAACCTGTGGGTCGCGAACAACGAAAATACATCCTGCTTATCAGATATTTACATGACGATTCATAACAGTAGCATAATTACAGTTATGAAGTAGCAACGAAAATAATTTTATGGTTGGGGGTCACCACAACATGAGGAACTGTGAAAGGGTCACGGCATTAGGAAGGCTGAGAACCAATGCCGGAAACATCTTATAAATATTAGCTCATTTATTCATTATAATATACTCATGGGATATGCTTGATTATTATCCCCTTTTTGCAGATGAAGAAAATGAGGCATAAAGTGGTCATGCTATTTTCCTATTGGGCACCCAAGCTAGTAAGGGGAGGTACCTCAGTAGTCTGGCTCCAGACTCCATTCTCTTAACCACTTCACAATGCTGAGGACAATGATATATGACTTTATTTTGAAGGCTTCCTAGTAGGTATGCAAGTATTGAACTTCAAAAGATACAATTTTAGATTCATTCAGGATAGGAGTTCAGAGGTTGAGTATGATGGACGTTAAGGGATTAGTTAATGAGTTAAACCATGGAATGCAGACTAGATGGAAAAGGTCATGCAAGAGGGAAGGAAGCAGCTTATAGAAGGGCTCAGAGATTTGAATGTTTGCTATTTGACTAAGGTTTTAGATTCCTTATGAAGTCAAAGAGTTAGTTTGATAGAAGTGAGGAAGAAGGATAGATGAAAGGATCAGGAATTCATAGTAAGACAGTACAATTGTAAAGTGTAATTAAGAGAGGTGAGGAGTTGCTGGATGACTAGGTAGCACTGGGGTGTGGTGCTGAAGTCTAAAGGCCTGTGTAGCAGCTGAGATCAAGAAATGATGAGTTTAGGGTGTTGGGTGGGGCATCTCTATAAATATTGAAGTCACATATGAATCACTCAAGAGGAGACAGGAAGAGGGGTGGGGAGAAAATGGCTCCAGAAACCAGTTGATTGCAGTGTGAGTAAGATTAGAGACCAGGAGGCAATGGAGTCATAGGCCAAACTTTCTCGTAACTAACTATCTGCCCCTGAGTGTGTTAAGGAAGCCAAAAGTGCCCATACCACTACAATGCCTAAACTGGCAGCATTTCTGAAGAGCTTTTCAAAGGGGTTGAATTGTTGAAATGATTAAAGCCTTAAATTACTCAGAGGTCCAACACATTAGCAAAGTAAATATTAACACACATTACTTTCCCTAGCCCACACAAAACCATTATCATTTAAGTACAAATAGGGCCCTAAGGATATGGATAAGTTTTAAAGGGTAGGGGAGTAGGAGGAGGAAGGGAACACAGGAAACTGAGGTTTGATTTGGCCATGAGTAATGTGAACTAACATAAAGGAGGAGAAAGGAACCAGCAGCCTCAGAGAGAGAGAGAGCCTCTAATGCAGCGGTTCTCAACCTGTGGGTCGCGACCCCTTTGGCGGTCGAACCTTTCACAGGGGCCGCCTAAGACCATCCTGCATATCAGATACTTACATTATGATTTATAACAGTAGCAACATTACAGTTATGAAGTAGCAACGAAAATAATTTTATGGTTGGGTCACAGCATGAGGAACTGTATTTAAAGGGCCAGAAGTTTGAGAACCACTGCGTCTAATCAATGCATGCCCTGGGAATAATGTGGAAAAGGGGAAATGTGAGGCATATTCTTCCCTCGGTTCAGAATACTCAATAAGAAATTGTTTTAATTATTTCAGATGCAGTGATATGGATATTCCCCATTCTAACAAAGTTAAGACCCTCAAAGACAAAAAATATTTTTTGCATGTACCTGTCGAGTTTTTCCAGCACCATTTATTAAAGAGACTGTCTTTACCCCATTGTGTGCTCTTGCCTTCTTTGCCAAATATTAAGTGACCAGAAAGGTGTGGGTTTATTTCTGGGCTCCCTGTTCTGTTCAATTGATCCATTTGCCTATTCTTATACCACGACCAGGCTGTTTTGATTACAATAACCTTGTAATATAGTTTGATATCAGGTATTTGATACTTCTAATTTTATTCTTTCTGAAGATTGCTGAGGCTGTTAGAGGTCTTTTTTGGTTCCATATAAGTTTTTAGAATATTTGTTCTAGATCTGTGAGATATGCCATTGGTATTTTAATAGGGTTTATGTTGAATCTACGTATTGCTTTGAATAGTATGGGATATTTTAATTATGTTAATTCTTCCAGTCCATGAACACAGTGTGTTCTTCCACTTATTTGTGTCTTCCTCAGTTTCTTTCTTGAGTATTTTATAATCTTCCAAGTACAGGTCCTTTACCTCCTTGGTTATTCCTAGGTAACTTATTTTTTGTTGTAATAGTAAATGGATTGTTTTTTTAATTTCTCTTTGTGGATAGTTAATTACTGGTATATAAGAATGCCACTTATTTCTGAGTATTAATTTTGTATCCTACTACTTTGTCAAATTCGTTTATCAAATCTAGGAGTTTTTGGTGGAGTCTTTAGGATTTTCTGTATACAATATCATATCATTTACAAATAATGACAGTTTTACTTCCTCCTTTCCAATTCGGATGCCTTTTATTTCTTCTTGTTGTTTGATTGCTGTGGCTAGGACTTCCTTTACTATATTGATTCTAGACCACCAACTGACACCATACACAAGAATAAATTCAAAATGGATAAAAGGCTTAAAACCATAAAAATCCTTGAAGAAAACAGGGGCAATAAAATTTCAGACATCCCTTGCAGCAATATTTTGCTGATATATCTATCTCCTCAGGCAAGGAAAACAAAGGGAAAAACTAAGCAAATTGGACTGCATCAAATTGAGAAGCTTCTGCACAGAAAAGAAACTATCAACAAAATAAAAAGGGAACCCATTGAATGGGAGGACATATTAGCCAATGATACATCTGATAAGGGGTTAATTTCCAAAACATATAAAGAATATACAACTCAAAACCAGGAAGACAAACAACCAATTTAAAAATGAACAAAGACTTGAATAGACATTTCTCCAAAGAGGACATACAGATTGCCAATAGACAAATGAAAAAATACTCAATATCACTAATCATCAGAGAGGTGAAAATTAAAGCCATAATAAGATATCACCTCACACCTGTCAGAAGGGCTATCATCAATAAATCAACAAACAAGTGCTGGCCAGGATGTGGAGAAAAGTGAACCCTCCTACACTGTGGTGGGAATGTAGTCTGGTGTAGCCTCTGTGGAAAACAGTAGGGAGTTACCGCAAAAATTAATAATGGAACTGATTTATGACCCAGTGATTTCCCTTCTGGAAATATATATTAAGAAACCCAAAACACGAATTCAAAAGAATATATGCACCACTATGTTCATTGTAGCATTATTTACAATAGCCAAGATATGGAAATAGCCCAAGTGCCCATCAGTAGATGAATGGATAAAGAAGCTGTGGTACATTTATACAATGGATGACTACTGGGCCACTAAAAAAAAGGGGGGGAAGTCTTACCATTTTTGACTGCATGGATAGACCTGGAGAGTATTATGCTAAGTGAAATAAGCCAGTCAGAGAAAAACAAATATCAAATAATCTCACTTATATGTTGACTCTAATAAATAAAATATTCTGATGAACAAAATAGAAATAGACGCATAAGTATATGGTACAGAGAGCTGTTGCAGAGAGGTTTGGTGGACTGGTTGAAAAAGGTGAAGGGATTAAGCAAAACCCTGTATATATGAGGGGTAGGTGGAGGTGGGTAAGTGGGGGGGGAGAATGAGGAAAATAGATGGAAGAAGACTTTGCTTGGGATGATGGGCATAAGATACAGTGTGCTGATGATATTTTATTGAGTTGTGCACTTGAAATGTATGGTTTTGCTAACTAGTGTCACCCCAATAAATTCAATTAAAAAATAATAAAGTTTACTAGAAAAAAAATCCTATCCCTGGATCAGAAGGCAGGATAAATTACACACTATTATAGAACTAACTGGCAAATATTAGAGGAAATTATGTTTTAGTCAACAAAAATTGAGATTTGCCTTGGTGACTTACATTGTCTGCCAAACCACCACTCCTCCACTATCTTCCTTACCAACAGAATTCCTTTGATGTCACTGGCTATTGGCATCTATACCTAACACTAAGAGACTGGCAGACACCATGTGACCATATGTGGAGTTAGCCTACAAAGAAAAACCTAGATGCTGATACGTTTCCTAGACTTTGGAAATAGTAATGCAGGAACCCAGTTAAATTTGAAATTTAGATAATGAATAATATTGCACAGGACATACAATGTTCAACTAAAATTCAAATGTAATTGGATGGCCTATATTAAATCAGACCAGCCTAGATAGATACCCAGGATGACAAAATGGAAAGTTGAATAGATGTTCAGTCATTGATGAAGTAACTGTGCTGCTGAATTCGCCAACTCTGGGCACTCTTTAACTCAAAACATTTTAATATTGAGGACATGTTCCTTACTGTTAAGCCAGTTCTTGTTGCATTTTCTGTTACTTACAGCCAAAATCATGCTAATGAGTACAGTTTTATCACCCCTCTCATTGAGCAAGTCAGTAACTCATATTGCTCATCCCTAAGTATCAACTTATAAATGCTAACTAGTATTTTCAAAAGTCTCTTTGTGAAAATTCTTCACTATGAAATACACCTATTTTTTTGGAACTCATAGTTTTAGATATTTGTGTGCTACATAAAAATTATTTTTGTGAAATGCATAACATATAACATTTTCCTCTGTATAGTTTAGCTGGATTGGATGATATTTAAGGCCTATTCTAGTTCACAAAATATTAGTTAATATGGGACAAATAAAATGTGATTTAAAGATGGGTAAGGCACCTAGCAATAAGGCCGTACACCAGACATCATCCGGTGTTAATTTTATAACAAGAGGTTCTATTGACAGTAGTCACTTGTTTTAAGAGTTAACAGAGTTATATTCATAGTACCACCACCTGAAAGCAGCAGTTCACAACTTCACATGGTGTTTCTTGAGTTATAAATACAAATTAGAATGAAGTCCTTTATCCATATAAATATATAGTTTTGATTCATAATATCCTAAAAGTACAAACCTCAGTTAAAGTAAAACAAGATAAATGATGGAAAATTTCTAAATAATTTTATTCATAGGCTCTGGAAGCACCAAAAGTTGACATTTTCCATCCATTTCCAATGGCTTATCGGAAGATCAAATCAGTTTGTTAGATCTTCAAGTTATAATTTCTACCATTGAGCACAACCTCAGTGTTTCAAGAACAGAGTAAGTTTTACATGAAATGAGCTCCCCTGGGCAATGGGGAAATAGCTCAAGCTGACAGGTAGGAACCTTTCTGAGTGGTGATATACATTTGTGTGCATAGGTGTGCAAATCTGCAACTGTATGCACATGTCTGTGAATGTGTGTGCACACTTAGCTTGTGAGTGATCCAGAGATAATTAGATCAAAATCCTCTGCCTTTTCCCCCATGTCTAGCCTCTAGACCAGTGGTTCTCAACCTTCTGGCCCTTTAAATACAGTTCCTCATGCTGTGACCCAACCATAACATTATTTTTGTTGCTACTTCATAACTGTAGTGTTGCTACTGTTATGAATTGTAATGTAAATATCTGAAATGCAGGATGGTCTTAGGCGACCCCTGTGAAAGGGTTGTTCGACTGCCAAAGGGGTCTCGACCCACAGGTTGAGAACCGCTGCTCTAGACAGAATAAGCTGCACAATATCAGAGCAGGGGAGGTCATTTTTACTAAAGATTTCCAAGACTGGTAAATGGAGGGGGCCTACCAAGAAAAAGTATATAATGGACATTGTTATCTGGCATATTAATACTCTTCAGAATTATGCTCTGGTCTAAAACTAGCCATCTCATCATTTTTTTACTTTCCTTTTCTTAACAGTCTTATTTAAGTGTATTTCAGTTCTTTTTCTAAGCTTGTATACTAAGAAAAACAAAAACACTGCAGTTATATAAGCGTACAATTTTAGGATACTGCCCAGTTACCACTGCTCCATTCAAACATACCTCTTAACAGACTTCCCATGTACAACCCTCAACAAGTACCTCATAGTATTTATCCAACAAAATCAGGAACTTGGGAAAGAAAAAGAAATGGAAAAGGGGGACATTTAACATTTCAATTGGGTGGTCTGAAGATATTGGAGATTAAAGAAATACATTTAGAAGTCAAAAATCTTTTTGTAGGACAATTTTTGAGATCTATTTTAATTTATAAAATAGAATGTGCTACTTTAAAAAAAAATGGTTGGTCTATCTGCTTCTTCCCTAATTAATAATCATGCAATAAATTCTTTCTAAGGACCATTCACTGAATTGACCTTGGAAGGATCTTTCTAGTTGATCCTTTTTTATATTACTTATTGATTTATTTATCTTGGGTAAAATTTTGTGTCCATGTCTTTCATAGTAAAGAAACAGAAATAAAAGCTATAAATGAAAAAAGAATACTTCTTCAGGGTCATTTAATTCAAATCTTCCTAAGAAAAGTTCTTTTCTCAATTTTAATTATCTAGTAATAACCATGATTTCTAATGTATCTAAATAATATATCTATACTACCTTGAGAGACTATTTTATTTCACATATCATCTCAAACAGTAAACTTACATTAAGCAAAAATTTTTAATTAGTATCTAAATTATTTTAAAAGGAACAATAAAAATGAAAAATTATAGTCATTATATAAATCTGACCTGAATTAGGTGGAGTGGGGGATGGTGTATTCTTCCTAAGTTTTTATTTATCTATGTATTTATTTATTTATTGCCAACTCAATGGAAACAGCAGTATAAAGTGTCTATGTAGGTCTACTATTACATATGTGATT